GAGTACACTCCTAACAGACTACTATAATTACAATACATTTTATAGAATGCTATATAATAATATATCTACAAGCATTATAACTAATATAACAAAATAGCTTAAGACCAGTGCAAAAAAATAGTACACCTCAATGAATGTGTTGGAGAAAAATATTAAACATTATTTTAATAAAGAGGAAAAAACCAGCGAGCCACAAGAACATATTATTTGTATTTTGTTTTGGCAACACCACATTTGCATTTAAATGTATTACCTTTAATAAAATTGTTTTGTTTAAATTTACCAAAAATTTTTTTTTGTCTATATATACTGAGAAATGGATACAAATATTCATAATTAATAGGTATGGACTCAGATCAGTCTCAGAAATAGTACATTTACAAAATAAAATGTATCTATCCACAACACAATTCTCATTTACAAAATCCATTTTGTAAATTCATAACATGATTTAAAAATATTCCAATTCAGTTCATAAACTTAAAATATAATTTATAAATCAAATTCGTAGGTTTAAAACACAATTCATAAATACACAAATCCAATTTGTAAGTTCAAAATACAAATTAAAAATGCACAAATCCAATTAATAAATTCAAAATATGATTCATGAATACACAAATCCAATTTGTAAGTTTAAAACAATTTATAACTATGCAAATCTAATTCGTAAGTTTAAAATAATTCATGCATACACGAATACAACTCGTAAATTCAAAACAAGATTCAAAAAGACGCAAATTAAATCCGTAAGTTCAAAACATGATTGAAAAATACACAAATTTCATAAATTCAAAATGCAATTCATAAATATGCAAATTCATTTTGTAAATTCAAAATATGACTCATAAATACACAAATTAATTTTGTAGGTTCAAATTTAAAAATATGCAAACCAAATTCGTAAGTTCAAAGCACAATTCATAAATACACAAATCTAATTCATGTTCAAGACACGATTGATAAATAAACAAATTAAATTCGTAGTTTCAAAACACAATTCATAAATATGAAAAGCAAATTTGTAAATTCAAAATAAGATTCATAAATACACAAATCCATTTTCGTAGGTTCAAAACACAATTCAAAAATATGCAAATCTAATTTCAAAGCAAAATTCTTAAATACAGTACACAAATCCACGTCTTAAGTTCAAAACGCAATTCATAAAAACATAAATCCATTTTGTAAATTAAAACCGCAATTAAAAAAAGGAAATTCCACTTAATTTAGTGAACATATTTCTGATTTTTATATTTGTGAATTCTCGAATCGTGAATCTCGAAAAGTGAATTTTGTAAATGCGAATTGTGCTGTGCATGTATGAATTTTCATTTTGTGAATGTATTCTTTTTGAGACTGATCTGGCTCCATAAAAGGGAGTGTTTATAGCAAGTGTTTTGTGCCATTAGAATACACACTCTTTATACATAGACACAGACACACACACACACACACACACACACACACACACACACACACACACACACACACACACACACACACACACGAAAAAAAAAAAAAAAAAAAAACTCCAATAAGGGATGTTCCATATCGCAGTTTGACTATTGCTGCTTTTAAAAAGGGCATTAAGGATGATGACCTGGTTGGTTAAAATTCATAAAAGAAGCCAATGTCTCAGTGCACCATCAAATTTAACTATCCCTTTAACAGCCATCAAATTCAAAACAGCCCAATCAATGATGACAAAACTCCAAACCACCCAGAAATTTCTGAGGGCCATTATCCAGTCAAACCAAGTCCCTGAAATAGGTTGCCTTTAAATAAAAAATACAGAGAGAAATATCTGCTGTCGGCACCAGGCAGAGCGAAGGGAGCTGGAGAAACCTTTGATAGTCACACTTAAAATAGTCATTTAGAGGTGGAGAGAAATCTGCTCTGATAGAGGGAAATAACTTTGCAACAACTAAGCATTCCCATTCGACACACGTCTCATCAGAAATGACGCCGCTGAGATTTTTGCAACACATTTTGTACATCCACATTGAACATTTATGTCCCACCTTTTCTTTTTATGCCTTTTTTTTTACAGAAGAGAAATATTCGCTTCTCACTCTTTTATAGGAATGAAAGGACATGACCGATATTTTTTTCATCTGCTTTTACTTTTAAATAGGCCTCACAAAATGTGTAAAGCTAGGAATGATGTGCTGTTGTCTCTCAACATTAATCTTCAGTGCTCCACAAAACTTCCATTACTCTGGGCGGCCGTTCGAGAGGAGCGATCAGCTTCATTTACACTCTGACCCCAGCAATGATATGGGTTGTCAAACTCTCAGGACAGCGCTAACCCTCATCTGTGCTCCTTCTACACCTGTGAGCTCTTCTCTGAACTCACAGACTGACAGCTGAGGCTCAATCACTAGAAACGTCAGTAATTTAACGCCTTCCGACTACCCAACAGAGCCATCAATTAAAGAAGAGGGCAATTCACCATTTTGGATTTCCACTCAGTGATTGATGTTACCGTGAGAGTGGAAACGAAGCTTGTTCGTATACTGTACTTACAGTGCATCCGGAAAGTATACATAGCACTTTACGTTTTTCCACATTTTTTTATTTATTTTATTTTTTTTTATGTTGCAGCCTTATTCCAAAATGGATTAAATGCCTCAACTTCTTCAAAATCCTACACACAATACCCCATAATAACAATGTAAAAAAAAGTGTGATTTTTTAAAAAAATTGTTTACATTTTTTTTATGATTTTTTTGAATTGTTGCAAATGTATTAAAAATAAAAAACCTGAAAACTACCATATACAAGCAGGGCTTTACATTAACTTTTTTGATCACCAGCCACTGTGGCTAGTAGATTTCCAACATTACTAGCCACTTGCCATTTTCACTAGCCACAATTTTGTTTTTTGGAAAATATATTTTATATAAATGAATGTGACTTTGACATGTTAAATGACTAGATTTAGATGTTGTGTTGTCCACATGCCTCCTCTTTTATTTCACTGTTTGTGTGTGTTGTGTATGAGCTTGTTCACTGTGCATGAGAAAATGGTTTGTGTCGCATTGCAATTGGTTTTGTTTCACATGACTTTTTGGGGCTCAGAATAAAGGTTTTACCAAATTCATCTCTAACCACACAAAAAAAGAAATAATTATTTCTTTGGCACATATTTAAATGTGTCAAAACAAGCAAATATATAGCTGTATACATGCATATTATTCAACAAAACTTTTTTTTTTTTAAATTAACATTTAAAAAGATCTATTGTCATGCATCTAAAACATGCACAGTAATCTGTCCGGGCTAAAGGTCCCAGATCAGCGGTTACTACACACGAATGGGGAGTTAATCTCATATCAAAGAAATGTTTATGTAAAGGATGATAATTAAACTATATTACAAAAACAACTGTAAGCAAAAGAAAGCAGGTAAAACTACGAGTGATAATGAAAGGATGATCACGTGCCTGAGAATAATTAAAAACGAAAGCAGTGACTGCTGCTGTTGCTTACAAATATATATATATTTCTCTCAAAAGCAACAGGACTATGGGTATACGAGCATCGTTTTTTGTCTAGTCTTTTTCAAAGAGAACCGATCGCAAGTGAATGGAAAAAAAGCGCAAGTAAACGGGAGCGTGCACACTTTTAACAGTTGCGCACATCACATCACCTGTGCGCGCGCACGAGTAATCATCCGCTCATAAGGTATTCACCTGCTTTGTCTCACGCGAACACAGTATTGTTTTAAGGCCATCCTTATAGTCAAACCCTGCTTTGAGAAAACTACATTGTAAAAATTATTTCCATCCTGCCAAAGTGGCTAGTGGGAGCGACTGTCCTACCCACCAAAGCTGAAATCTACCCACATTTGGCAGGTTGGCGGGTGTTAATGTAAAGCCCTGTATACAAGTATTCACAGCTTCTACAGTGAAGCTTTAAATTGAGCTCAGGTACATTCTGTTTGCACTAATCATTCTTGAGATGTTAAAGCAGCTTAATTGGAGTTCACCTGTAGAAAATTCAGTTGATTGGACATGATTTGAAAAGGCATAC